GCGTGGCCCGGGAGGGTTCCCGGGGCAGGGAAGGGGGCGGTCCTGCGGAGAAAGGCTCTGGAGCGGACTGCCGGCTCTGCGGACGCGTCCCAGGAGTCGGTTCCCGTGCCTGCCCTAGGGTGGCTGGGACGCCGACATGAGGTCGTCGTGTGCTTTCACCCGCCCCCTAAGGGGGCAGAGCCGCCGACACGCTCTTACGGGGGTGGCTGTTACCCCCGCCCCGTGGGACTCGGCAGTTTGCAGAGCGAGCCCTGCAGGTGCGGATGGTCGCTCTGCGGCGCGGGGCGCGTTTCAGCTAATTTACACCGGCGGCGTCGGGGGCGCGACCCTCGGCCCCGGCGCCACGCTTCCCGGTGCGACAGCCCCGATCCTCCCAGAACCACGTCCGAGTGACAGTCGCGCAGCCGCTGTCCCTTGCCCAGAGCCTAGCTGAGACCCTCTGGGGGTCCATCTAGAAGCAGCCTCGACCCGGATCCGGGATTTCCCAGGGACGCAAACGAGGAGGCCCAGGTCTCCTCGCTCAGATCCCGGGAGAGGCCTGGCTGGGGGAGGTCCTCCCAGGTCTGCACTGAGAGGCGGTGACAGTGCCGGGCAGGGAGCCAGGCCAAGGCCTGCCCGGCCCCCCACCCCCTGCTGGTCCAGGCTCCCATTTACCCCACCTCCCTGGGACCCAGGGGGTGGGGAGGGGCCGATGGTGCAGACGCCAAGGCTCTGCCTTCCCTGGTGGCGCCACTGGTGACCTTTGCCTGGGCATCTGGTGCCTGGTCGCCCTCTGTCCACCTCCCCTCCGCCCCTGCAGGAGGGCTCGCACAGGCCGGCAGGCAGCGCTGGTGCTATGTTCACAGCTCAGGGACAGGCTTCTCTGGGGCTTCCAGACCAGGGGCTCCTGGGTCAGGCCAGGCATTTCCTGCTCTGGCAGAGGCTGCTGTCCACAGCAGAGCCAGGGTTCAGAAGCCCACCGGAGTCACAGCCTAGCCCTTCCCTCCCAGCCAGGGCCGGGGTCACCCATGCCAGGACCCTCGCACACCTGGCCTGCCGCCTGCATTTGTACAGCCCGCGAGCCTTATAAGAGTGGCTTTTACTTTTCCAGATGGTTAATAAAGACTCAAAAGAGGAATAGGATTTTGTGGCTGAGGACAGTGTGAAGTGCACCGTTTAGCCTGGGACGTCTTGCTGGGACGCCGTGTGGGTGGTCTTCTGAGGCCTCTAGTTGGGCTGTCTACGAGGAGTCGTGGGCCAGCCCACCCCAACATAATGGCTCTGGCTTTTTCTAGCAACCGCCCTGGCCTCTAGAAGTCGGCTGGCTCCTAGGGGTGAGGCGGTGCAGTGGGCTGGGCTGCCCGAGCGCCAGGACTTCTCCTCCTCCAGGGGGTCTCCCTGGAAGCCCTGCCCTGTCCACTCCCCCACGTCGGGGTGTGGACCTCCAGTGTAACAGGTGCCGTCTCTGACCCGGCGTGTCTTCCCTTGGTTCCAGTGGGTGGCCAGCATCGATGTGGTGGAGAACGAGGAGGCCAGTGCCAGTGTCATTGTCCGAATGACAGACTCCTTCACCGAGCAGGCGGACCAGGTAACTCCAGACAGGTGACCCCAAGCACGACGGGTGCCCGGGAAGGGCTCCCACTGGGCGCATGCCCACCTGCTTCCCAGGCCCTCCTGCGGGGCTGGGGTGGGGCGTGGCATGAGGACCCCTGTGGGTGCCTGTCTCTTCTCTTTGACCGCTCCCTCTGATGGAAGGACCATATAAGCTCTAAAAATCACAAAGCCGTAGCTGGCTTCACCGTCCGGAAGTGCTCGTCAGCGGTTAGTCCCAGCTCATTTCTCCATGTGAATGGCCAGGCCCGTGAAACCGCCGTAAAGGAGGGGGAGACAGGACGTCTGCGAAGGCTGGTCTGTTTGTCCTTCTGTTCCTGCGTTCCAGGTCACTGCCGAGGTCGGAAAGCTCCTGGGTGAAGAGAAGGTGGACGCGATTCTCTGCGTGGCCGGAGGATGGGCCGGGGGCAACGCCAAGTCCAAGTGTGAGTCCTCTTCTGTTAGTCTTTTATGCCGTGGCAGGGCCTGGTCTGGACCAGGGCACAGGCAGCTGTGGCAGGGATCTCTGCGGTGGCTTTGTGCAGGGCTGTTGATAGCCCAGGGATAGACGAAGGAGCAGCTTGGGTGATCATGTGGGCTGGCTTCGAACTCGTGTCCCTCCGACCACTGGGTCTGGGCTTGTCTGTATCAGACCTTGGGTGTGGGGCTGGGCAGGGCCGGAGGGCTCCTTGAGCGTCAGTGCAGGGCCAGCCTGTCTGGGCCTTGTCACTGGGCACTAAACTGCGTGTGCTCCAACCAGCTCTCTTTAAAAACTGTGACCTGATGTGGAAGCAGAGCGTGTGGACGTCGGCCATCTCCAGCCACCTGGCCGCCAAGCACCTCAAGGAAGGCGGCCTCCTGACCTTGGCCGGCGCCAAGGCCGCCCTCGACGGGACCCCCGGTGAGCCTTCGTCTCCCTGCGCGAGGTGGGGTGTTTTCCTTGCCCATGACGGGAGGCTGTAAAGCCCCCACCCTCTGTGGTGCATCTTTTCAGGGAGGGGCCCGGGCCTCTGTTAGGCGAGGGCCTGCGGCCTGGCACTGCCGTCTGGCCTGTCTACCCGGGTCGCCCAGGAGTGAGTGTGTGCTGGGTGTTGACCAGCTCACGAGCACGGCTGTTGCCATCACGTGGGGTCTATGTGTTCCAGGGCGGCTGCTGGAGGTAGCGGGGCGTTCCAGCGAGAGCCTGGGGAGGATTCCTTACCCCGCTGCGGCCTCCAGCAAACCTTCGGTTCTGTGACCACATCTTTGCAGTTATTTCTAACAGTGACAGTAAGGTCTAACGTGAGCAGCGGCTGTGGGGCTGTGGGGCTGACGTGTGGGCAGTGCCCGCGGCCCGCGGTGGCGTGGCGGTGAAGGCGCCGGATCCCATGTGGCTGACTGGTTTGACTCCTGGACCCGTGGCTCGGAGACACACTGGGCAGGTGTGCATGCAAGCTCACGATCCCAGGAGGAGGCTGGAGAAGGGATTGTGGCATGGCCATCCCGGAGGGTGCTGTCTCGCTTTTCACCTTCCTTCTCTGTCTCTCTGGTGAACACGTGCCGGGTCGCTAAGGCCCAGCCCGTGGCCGGCACCAGGAGTCGCAGGTGTCACCGTACCCAGATGTGTGGCAGTTCTCAGGCCCTGGTTACCTTCGGCAGTGTACGGGTCTGGGTTTACGCAGAAACGAATCCAGGCGCTTCCAGGCCCTGCGCTTTTCTGTATGGGGAGGGCCCGAGTGTCCTTGGCGTGTTTGCCTCATGCTTCGTTTCCTAGGTCTGCCCCCGGCTAGGTGCTGAAACAGCAGCAAGTAATTTAATTCCCCAGTTCTGGGGCTGCGAGTCCGAGATTAAGGTGCTGACAGGGCTCACCCTTCGAGGCCCCCGTCCTCGGCTCGCTGGTGGCCACCTCCCTTTGTCCTCGTTTCCGACTTACGAGGACACCAGCCTCCCTGGCGGGGTTCACCCTACAGGTGCGTGTAGACTTCATCCCCACTTAGCGACTGTGTCCCCGCCTGCGCTTCTCCTCATTGTTAACAGAATCCTCTGGAAAAGAATTCAGAGATAAAGAGAGATGAGAAAAGGAACATTAGAAACATTTCCCCCTCCTGCACCCATTTAGTTCATGGAAGACACGGAGGTCGTGGGGTGAAATGCAAGCACTCCATGTCCCCAGTAGGGCTCCGTCCAGGACGCATGTGCGTGTCCTCGCGTGAGTGTACACGCCGTGCCTGCCTCGAGAACTGCCCCGTGCCCATGGAGACGTGTACCGAGTCAGTCACTCTGAGCCCAGTCCTGCTGGTCCCGCCCAGTCGCCCAGCACAGGAGGTGCCAGCTGAGCGGCCCCGATGCTGACGACGCGGGCAGGCCCCAAAGTCCAGTCGTGAGTGTTTTTCCTGGAAACAGGGAGGTGAGTGACCCTGGCTGGCAGTGGCTGCAAAGCCAATTTTGAATCTTAGGCCCAGTTCCTCCCTGGGGCCCGTTTGGACAGATTCAGCATGTCCAGGGCTCACAGGGCACGTCCATTAACGTGGTGAGAACGCTTGTTCGGCCTGGCCCGTGCCCAGGGGTACTCCGAATGAAGTCCTTTGTCCCAGGTGGCATCGTGGGAAATGATGTGGTCTTGTCCTGGTCCCTAGGACAGAGTGCCTGTAGTCCTCAGAATTTCCTGAGTGACAGGAAAATCTGCAGTCACACTGGCTTTCTGCTAGTGAGCGGACTGGGGGTGCCCCTCGACCCTCTCAGAACAGGGCTGCTCACCTGGAAGACGTGTGACCAGAGCCTCTCAGCGCCCCACCCTGCCACGATCCCTCCTCCTCCACGCTCCTCTCGGGATCTTGGGCACATACGCCCACGCACCCAGCGTGAGTTTTACGTCGCCGGGTCCAGGACTCAAACCATGGTCAACTACCTGGGAGTCCAGCGACATAGCCGGAAGCCATCTGTAGACTTCTGATTCGACTCCTGACTCTGGAGCTACAGAGCCCATGGGCGTGAGCAGCCCTCAGCCAGGCCTTCCCATCAGCACTGCAGAGAGGCTGAGGCCGCGGGTGTGCAGAAGAGACCAGAGCGAGCCAGCTGCCCGTGTGACCTCTACTGCCCAGAGCTCACTCCGGGGGAGTGCCCACCGCAGTCGGGCACCAGCCCAGGCACCTGCTGGGGCCCCGCCTCGTCAGCCGGTTCCCTGGACATTGTCTCCGACACGGGAACTCCGGGCACGCATCCGCACCGTAGCGCGTCTCTGGTCCCTGGCGTCTGTCATAACCACACGTTCGTCTGTTTCCAGGGATGATCGGCTACGGCATGGCCAAGGGTGCCGTCCACCAGCTCTGCCAGAGCCTGGCCGGGAAGAACAGCGGCATGGCCGCAGGGGCGGCCGCCAATGCTCGGCGC